GCTCAGTGTGTGGGGGAGGCCGTGAGGCCACTGTCGTCTCTTCCTGTCCAGCTGACAGCAGGAACCTGGCTGGGGTCACGTGATGAGGATCCCAGGGCCCCTCAGCTGCAGCCAGTGGGATCTGCATAGGGGATTATTGGCCGAGGGGAGGGGAGGCGGCTCTGTACAGTAACACAAGCTCGCTCTGGGCCGGCGGCCAGGCAGCTAATTAGAGAGCCCAGCAGCTGTCCAGCCTTTCAGGCCGCGAGCAGCAGCCACCCAGGGCCGGGGGAGGGATGGGAGGGAAGGCAAGGAGCGCAGGGTCAGAGACCACCCTCTAAGGTGTAGGGAGATGTGGGCAGGCCTTCAGGGTTGGTTCTGGGGGGAGAAGGGGAGTGGGGAGTTGGGGAGAGTAGGCTGGAGAGTGGGGAGGAGGAAGGAAGAAGAGAAGGTTATCAGGACAGGGTGGTCTGCAGGTGAGGCAGAAGACCTAGGGTTGGGGGGGTGTGGGAGGGGGGAGGGTGGGCGTTGAGATGTCCAACAGGCAGGGAAACCCAGATTCCAAGCCCAGGGTGAGGGGAATGGAGTGGAAGGACATGGTCAGGTGGAGTGGGGAACCCATCCCCTATCTCCACCCTTTCTTCCGCATGCCAGTCAGGCCACAGGGCCTGGGGCTCCTTGCTCCCCAGAGGGAGCTGACCACACTCAGCCCTCCCACCCCACCTCACCCCACCCCAGGGTTTCACACCTTGGTTTGGGAAGTTGCCAAATCCACTTGCTTAGGTTGGTCTTACTACAGGACAAGTAAAAGCAAAAGGGAAGAACTGGGGAGGATTTGCATAACCAGAGCACAAACCAGTGAGTCTCTGGGGCATCTTCTCTTTACCTTATGTGCACCTGGTTGGGGGAATCTGTGGAAGAGAATAGAAGAGAAAAAGGCATAGTGTTTGCCTGCCACTTTCTGGTTTCAGTCTTAGGTTCTGAGCCATTGAGAAGGGTTGGGAGGGAGAGTACATTGGATTTTGAGGTTCTAGTCAGAGAAGCAGAGATTCAATCCTGCAAGCCCAGCTTACCCTAAATAGTTACAGGGGAGGAGAGAGAGCATTGTGGTGGGAATTTCCTGCCAGCAGCTGCTGGTTAAACCTCTTTGGGAGATGAATCCTACGTATATGAAAACTGGATGCACCTTTGAGAGTGCCAGCACATCGTAGAAATAACAGAATAGGCGTTGGTATTCTCTGACTTGAACCTGAGCTTGGCCTCTTGCCCATGTGAGAGCCTGCAGTGTCTCCCAGGATGCCTAGGACGCTCTGTTCCAGCCCCATCTCTCCTCTCATGTCTTCTGTATTGTCCAGATCCCAGGCACTCACCCCATCCCTCCTCACCTTAGGCTGGGTGATGGCTTTTGGAGGCAGGAGAAAGGATAGCAAGCACCCTTCTTTCTTTCCTCTGCAGAGACAGCCCTGGCCATTGTAAACCAGTATTTACATGCTTTGTGGGAAAGAACCCTTCTGTGATGGTGACCTAAAAATTAGAGAAGATACGGGGCTTCCCTGGTGGCTCAGATGGTAAAGAATCTGCTTGCAATGCAGGAGACTCGGGTTCAATCCCTGGGTTGGAAAGATCCCCTGGAGAAGGGAATGGCTACCCACTCCAGTATTCTTGCCTGGAGAATTCCATGGACAGAGGAGCCTGGTGGGCTAACATACAGTCCATGGGGTCACAAAGAGTCGGACAATGACTGAGTCAGGCATCATTATATTTGATTAGTAACACTGGATGTTGCAATCACCCAGTAATTTAGCTGGAGCCTTCTCTACCTTGCCTGTCCCTCCATCCAACAGAAGTTCCATGGTTTCAAGGGATTCACCATATGAAGGGGGAAACAGACACTGAATCATTTTAAGATGGGACCATATGTTTCAATGGGAGGATGTTCAATGCCCTGTAGGAACATCAGTGATGGAATAACTGGGGGACTGTGGAAGGATGTTCTCACGAAAGAATGAAGAGGGGCAGGATCTCAAAGGAGGCGTGGGTGTGATGGGTTGCGGAGGAGGGCAGTTAGAGAGAGCTTGAACTTGAACGTGGTCTCCTTCAAGCTTCTGGGGCATCTGGTAGTGTTGAAGAAGCAGCTAGACGGACAGACTCAGCAGTATGTTTTTGAGTAAGCGGCTTACGGAACGGACTAAGTAGATTACACTCAATGAAGGACAAGCATGTGCGGACATGGGCCTTGAGAATGAAACTGGGATGGGAAGCAACTGGAAGGAATGCCGTGTGGAGAGAGGGGTGACTCTGGAGCCCCAGGACCAGGGTTTGAATCAAGTGTGTGGATTTGGCCTAATCGCTTAATGTCCTAAAACTCCATGTTTTCTTTTTTTTAAATCAAATTGTTCACTTTTTTTTTTTTTTAATGAAATGGCTTATACATTTATTTTATTTTTGGCTGCACTGGGTCTTCATTGTTGCACATGGGCCTTCTCTAGTTGCAACAAGTTGTGGCTACTCTCTAGTTGCGGTGTTCGGGCTTCTCATTGCGATGGTTTCTCTTGTAGTGGAGCACCGGCTCTAGAGTACTCGGGCTCAGAAGCTGCGGCACACAGACTTAGTCACTGCATGGCATGTGGGATCTTCCCAGACCAGGGATCGAACCCGTGTCCCCTGCATTGGCAGGCAGATTCTTAACCACTGGACCAGCAGGGAAGTCCCAAGCTCCATGTTTTCATCTTTAAAATGCAGCAGGGTTGGGGACAGGGTGGGAGGTAGACTAATTCCTGCCTTCCCTGCAGGAGTTTGGGGAGAATCATGAGAGATGATACACTTGAAAAAGTGTAAGTTCTACTCCCATGTTAGTTGTCTAAGGGCTCTTCGCCCATTCCTCTCTTCTAGAAACTTCTGGTTCAGGTCATGCTGTCCACAAGGGAGCATGCCCTCTATACCCTGGGACCCAGTCGAAGGGGCCAGGGAGTGTTGGAGGAGTCTGGGAACAGCTGGTACCCTTGGAGGCAGGGGTGGGACCCCATCAAGTCCTTATCCAGCACCCCCACCTCCCCCTGGCTCCCTAGAGGGAGAGCCTGCAGATGAGGAAGGAGGGGGGCTCCAACCTGAGGAGGAGCCCCAGATGGACCCCGTTTTGACTGCTGCACCTCATCTGCTGGGGCGGCCCCGCAGCCAGTGAGGGGCTCCCAGGGCTGACTGCAGGCAGGCTGTGCTGCCAGGATGTGGGCTTTGGTTTCTGTTTCTGTTTGGGTTTGACTTGTGCTATTAAGGAGGCCTGCTTAGGGCCCAGAGAAGGGGAAGTGCCCGTGAAGGGGAATCAAACTCCCCAGGCATTGGGCCATGGTGATGCTGGGGGTGGAGGGTGTGCTGGACATGCCGATGACAGGTACGTGCCAGGGTGACCCCTGCCCACGGTCTGGCAGGCTGGGAGAAGGGAGGGTGGGCTCCTGTTTGTGGAGGAGATGGGGAGGGGCTGAGGCCAGGACAGCATAGGAACCCACAGCCCCTCACCCACTCTGTCCTTCATACAGAGGCTCCCGGGAGAGAGCCGGGGGTGCACAGCTTCCTACCCCAAAGTACATGCGCACACAATGAATTTCAGTTCCCCAAGCCCTGCCCTTTCACTTCTCTTGGCTCCCCTGCTGCCTTGCAGGTTGTCAGCTTTGGAAGCAAAGGCCCAAGTCACCCCTGCTCAGAGGGCCCGGCGGGTAGAGGCAAGGAGGAGGGTGGCCATGGGTAGCAAGCAGCTCAGGTGGTGCCTCTGTGGCTCACCCTGCTTGATGTCCCCTAGGTATGGTGACAGCTCCCCCGGTCACACACTGTTCTCGGTTTCCGAGCAGCTGGCCCCTCCTTCTGTAGGACTGGGCTGTCCTTGGGCTCATGCAGAAGGGGCAGTGTCCCAGTGATTTTCAGTGGAAGCTTCAGCACTTTCATATTAAAACAAAAATGTTGTTCAGTTGCTCAGTCGTGTCTGACTCTTTGTGACCCCATGGGCTGCAGCACACCAGGCTTTCCTGTCCCTTCCCTGACTATCTCCCAGAGTTTGTTCAAGCTCATGTCCATTGAGTTGATGACGCCATCCAACCTCTCATCCTCTGCTTTCCCCTTCTCCTGCTGCCCTCACTCTTTCCCAGCATCCGGGTCTTTTCCAGTGAGTCAGCTCTTGGCATCACACGGCCAAAGTATTGGAGCTTCAGCTTCAGCATCAGTCCTTCCAATGAATATTCAGGGTTGATTTCCTTTAGGAAACAAAAAGAAATGTTGAAATCTCTACCAAATGGTCAAGTCTTAGGGCTATATTAAAAATATATATGTGGCAAGGGATGTCATAAAGTCAGATTTACATCAGCTTGTAGTCAGTCACTGAGGTTAATAGGAATAGTCTGACAATAATAAAAAAAAATAATAGAATGAATTAAGTTTGAGTGAGTGGGGTTGCGGGGATGGTGCTTTGGCGCACATTGTGTTGGTGAGCTTGTTTTTCCAGGTGTAATTGTGCTTGGCTCCCCAAATGCTAAAAACAAATGTCCTACGTTGTCTGTCTTCTGTGAGGTTCTTGACTGCCCTTGAGAACAGATGTACCCACTACAGGGTGAAGGTGAGAGTGTAATTTGAAGCTCAATTGAGAAGGGAACTGGATTCTAAAATTATATCGCCACTCGGATTTACAAATGTGCACACATTCACTCATGGCGAAAGAAGCGCTGCGTCCTAGCCCCCGTGGGAGTTGCCTGGGATCCTTGCCTGGTTCTCATCACCGGATTAACCAGACCTGGGTGAGCAGGATGGCCGGGAGGAGGTGGCCGGCTCCAGGAGAGGGCCCCGTGGCCTGGGCGTGATGCGCGTCTGGTGCTGAGCCAGTGCCTGGAGTTGTCATGTTTGCCTTGAGGTAGCCGCTCTGACTGGTCTGGTAGCTCAGATCTGGGGCAGTTTAAGCTGATGAACTCCTCCTCTTTAATTCCAGGGATAAATGGAAGCCACCGGCCCAGTAGCCAAGGATCAGCTGAGCCCTGGGGCTAATGCTTGCTCACACTGTTGAGAATGGCACTGCGGCCCAGCCAGGCACCGGGACAAAGGTTAACCCGGGACACTCGTGGCCAGTGATCCTGATGTGTGTTCAGAGCCGCGCACTCAAGGGTGTGATAAGTGAGTATGTTACTGGCTCCCAGGGGAATCACTGGCCCTTCCTGCCTCAGCGGCTTAAGCACACGTCTGGAGACTGCACTTCTGAGCCTGCTTCCCATCCGAGGGCCTGTCACAGAGTTATGTTTTGGAATGAGAGGGCGTTTTCCAGCAGTTTCAGGCCATGTCACATGCCAGAGCCGTCTTACAGCTACATGGCTTCTAAAAACCAGGCCAGAGCCAGTTGAGCTGAGTGATGGGAGACACCCAGCCCCAAGGAGATGGCAACTTTCCCAATTCTTGTTCTCATCTGTAGGCTCATGGATGCATTGGGCCCTGGGCTTCACCTCTGTGCAGTGGGAACTGGATCTTACCTAGACTTCCAGACTCTGCCCAGAAGCCAGGAGTGGATCATGTGGCTTGGGTAGGGCATCCGGGCCACTGGATGGGGAGGGATTTGTGGCGTCTTGACTGCCATGAATGTCGTCAAGAGAAGCAAGTCCTCCACTGCTTCCAAGTGTTTCAGCCACGTCTCCTCCTCAGTCCAGAGGAGCGGCTCTAGGAGTCTGGCTAGAGTCTGGCTGCGGAGTCTCCTCTGTCCTCGCACAGCCTTTCTTTCCAGCCTCAGCCTCTGGCTTTTCCTTGAGGACACTTTAAAAATTGACAATTGGCTGCTTTACCCAGAGGCTGTCCAGCCTGAAGGCTCATCTGCCTGAACAGGGCAGTCAGCCCCACTGAGGGATTCAGAGCCAGCAGGTTTAGAGTTCCCCGGGAAGGCAAGTCAGGGAGGGCTGGTGCTTTTGCATTGCTGACTGGATAGGCTTCTAGGAGGTGTTGGACTGGACCATGGGAATGCGGAGCCCTTAGATTCTACTTGGGAGAGAGGGCAAGGGCAACTGGGCACTTCTCAGCTTTAGGTAACTCTTGACTCCACTGCTAGTTGACAGTTTAACACTCAAGGCTAGAATTTACTTTTCAGTCAGCCAAGGCTTACAAAATCAGTTCGTGACTAGACAGTCTTTCAGGAAGTGTGTTACTGTATTGATTTATAGCCAGGGTGGTGTGAGCAAGCCTGGACCATGGGAGGGGGTTGGGGGTGGATGGATGGCCATGGAGGCCACTGTGGGAAACATGGCCACTCAGACAGAGACCTGTTCCCTGCATTACACAGAATTCCCCAGAACAGCCTAAGTCATCAGCCTTAAAATAGCTGTGCCCTGGACTTCCCTGGTAGTCCAGTGGTTAAGACTCCATGCTTCCACTACAGGGGGCATGGGTTTGATCCCTGGTTGGGGAACTAAGATCCCACATGCCATGCGGAGTGGCCAAAAACAAAAACAAAATGGTCATACTCTTTCGTCCAGTGATCCCACTTCTGGAATTGTTGAGAACTCTTTCATTAGGAAATAGTCTCAGCAAAGACAAGGGCTGAATTTTCCTGTTACAGGCATAAAAGAGGTGTTTCTTGTGGTGTCATTGTCACAGTGGATATGGAAAACAGTTGTTCTCCCTTTGTTGAACATCTTGGTTAAGTAAATTATAGTTTCCCACTTGGTGGAATATTATGCAGCCATTATAATGAGGAGGACATGGGAAATATAACAACTTGAAATAATGATTATGATGTCATGAGTCAAGTGTCAGGTTACAGGATAGGTACATTACGGTAACTTGTAAAATAAACACATGAGAAAAGATGGCAGAGGGGAAATGATAATGGCTGCTAGCTGCTGGAATTATGAATGCCTTTTCTTTCTATGATGCATTAATTTGTTTATTTTAAAACGAAATTAAATCTGGATGTGTACACATCATACCTTTAAAAGTTATTTTCTCTAACATGTGGGAAGATGGGGGACTTCTGCTTTCTACGTCATTCCTATCTGTCATGTTTACATTTCAACTGTGAGCACATGTCATTTTTGTAATTGGGAAAATGACTTTAAAATGCTAGAAATAAAAAAATTTTAAAGGCTATATTTCCCAAGAAAGAGTTGAAGAGAAAGGCTGAGCTGGTTAGCTATTTATACCTGCTTCTATCAGTTTAAGGACCTGAACCTGTTTGGGCCCATTCATTCACAGGTATCAGTGGATCTCACTGCTGCTCACTGTTCTAGGCACTGATTACCCAGGCTCATTCTAACTGGGAGAGACAGACAGTGAACAAGTAGCAAAATGTCAGAAACTGAAAGTGCTGTGACTAAAATGGCATGATGTGAGTGATGGGGAGGCTGCTTTGCATCAGAGATCAGAGAATCCTCTGAGGGGTAATGGATGAGCTGAGATCTGAATGACAACAGAGAGGCAGCCTCGGGAGGTCTGGGAAGGAGGGGTCCTGCAGCCTGCAGGCACCACCCGCAGGCTGTCCATTGCTGCCTGAGCCCTCATGAGCCTCTGTGCCAACCTGACTCTATGCCCCAGGCCCACTTGCCCCCCTGCACCTGCCAGCTGGGATCTGCTTAGCATCCAAGCGCATCTGAATCCTCCCCTTCTGGCCATCCTGCATGGATCGGTTGCTTCTGATACTCTGGCTGCTGCTGCTCCAGGCACAAGGCTTCTCTGGGCAGCCTCCACTGCTCTTGGCTGGCACTGCCATGGCAGGGCTGGGGCATCTAAGATTCCCGGCAGCACTGGGGCAGGCTGGCAGTCAGGGAGGCTCTGGGTAATATATGTCCTGGTGAGAGGTCTTTGAGTGGCACATGCTCCTGTGATGGTCCTGGGAGGGTCAGCTATGACCCAGGAGGACCTTCACGTAGTTCCTGCCAGAAGGCAGCTTCAGAATAGAACCTGGCCTCTCAGGAGAGGCTGAGAGCCTTCAGCAGCTCTGACACCAGACCTGAGCTTCACTGATGATCTACCTAGAAGTTCCTGTCCTTCTTGCTTTCCTGTTGTCTCTCCATATACCATCTCAGCCTGCCACAAGCAGAAACTCAGAAAATGTAGTGCCCTTAGAGGAGCCTGCAGTCAGGTTTAAGGGCAGTGAGGCGCGCTGATCAGGAGGGAAGGCTCTGGAGCTGGGTTTGAGTCCCAGCGGACAGTTGCCTTGTACAGCTACAGCTGAACTTGGGCTAATTTTGCAGCCTTTCTCTGCCTCAAATTCCCCATCTGTGAAATGGGTTTGAAGATTATCTGAGTTAACACATGGAAGTACTGTGAAGAGTGCCTGATTATTATTGTGACTTGGGAAGTGGCAGACGGACCATCCCTGGGAGCTTTCCTGGGGGATACCCACAGCAAGAGAGGTGGAACTGTACAGCGTTCTGGGCAGCCAGTGACCACAGGTATTTTCCCCCACGTGCTTCCCTTCTGGCCCTGAAGGCCCTCCCCACCACAGTTTTCCTCTCCTTCAACCTGATGACCACAGGGGAAGCTCAGGACTGCTTGAGAACTTGCATCTGGCACCCAGCTGTCAGGGCACCCGCCCACCCTTCATTGACTCCACTCCCCTACCAGGAGACTAGACTCGGGGTCGCTCAAGCCATGCCCCAAATCCCTTGCCTTCAGGGGCCCCCGGAAGGCTTGTGCTTCTCCCTGGGGCAGTGGTATTAATTAACTCTAGTTGCTTTGTTGCCTGGGGATAGGGAGTGAAATTTGGGAAGTAAATGAAGTGAAAGAGGAAGGCCTGCCCAGCCTGTCTGCATGGAAGGGGAATCCCAGTTTTCTAGCAAGATGTTCCTCTGGACAAAAACTCCCAGAGTCTCTGTGTTGTAGCAGCTTAGCTTCCGGGAACAAGATGGGAGTTTTGGGCAAAACCAGGAGCAGTCACCCCATCTGGTTTTGCCTCCAGCCCATCTTGGACTTTTATGGTATTCTCTTCACTTCTCTCAGCTGCTTGCTGTGCTCTCTGCCACCTAAGGAACAGCTCAGCAGGTTCTGAGAATAGCAGGTGAGATTTTCCTAAGGAGCCAGGCTCAGAAAGCCGGCCTTGCCCCCCGGCCCCCACCTGTTTCCTGGGAGGGGCGGCGCCCTGTCCTTAGGAGTCTCTTAAGCTCTGGTCCTTTGCGGAACTCCTTGTGCCCAGATTCTTTCATCATACACAAGGGCTCTTGTACTTGTGTACTGTTCCCCCAAATCCTGCTTGTGAAACCATCCACTGCTCTCCAGATTGTTTTCTCTCCCCTCAGTCTTGCCAACGCTCTCCTCTCTACTCCGCCGCGAGTTTACTTTGCCGGGCTGTCCCGTCTTTGTGTCACGGTCCTCAGGATGGTTATGTTTGTCAGCAGGAGAAAGGAGCAACGTCTCGTGAGCTGCTGGTTCCTCTTGATGCCGGTCTGACTGGGGCTCTGATCCCCCGGGGCAGAACAGGAGAGGTACTAGAAGGGCCTGGGGCAAAGGGTTCAGGCGGAGGGAGGCCAGGCAGGGATGGGGGGCTGTTGGGCCTAGCAGAGGGAGGGAGAGCCTGTGCTAGCTCAAAGTTTAAGCACAGCTCCTGTGATGATTAGAAATGGGTTTGGGGAGTGGAGTTCTGAAAATCCACCCCGGCCACTGGCCGCCTCTAATTTTAGCATATGTCCCATCACAGTGTGAGCTGCCGTCCCGGCTGACGACACTTTCTCACATCCCGTCCCTGTCCTCAGCCGTGCCTTCTGGCCCCGGCCAGGACTTCCAGCTTTCCCCATTCATCTTCCGTGGACCAGTCTTGGCACAACCTCTCAGACGCGGCCTGACTTCTCCTAGGTATGCTTCCCCCTACCCCTCACCCCCACCCCCTACCTGTGTTCTTCCAGGCTCAGAAGAGTCTAAAAATAGAATCCAGGTCTTGGGCTCTCCCTGTTCTCTCTCCGCCACCATCCTCTTACCCTTTGACAGCTACTCCTCTAATCTCGCTTCTGCTCTCTAGGGTTTGGGGGGTCCATCTCTTCCACGTCACCTGCTCCAGGGTCGGGGTGGGGGCTGGAGCCTCTGATGTGTAACTGGCCAGGAAGCCATTCTTGGCCGCCGCAAAAGATGAGACCAAGAGGCAACGAGAGCAGGGTTTTAAAATCAGCATCCAGAAGGGGACTGAGCTGAGTGATGTCTCCACCAGTTACATGAGGCTGCTAAAGGAAACATCTGAAGAAGCCCCTTCCTTGGAGTCCTGTGGGACAGAGGGGCCAGCGGTGCAAGTGCTGGTGAGGTGGAGAGACCTGAGTTCAGGGGACCCTGAGTCAGGTGGGAGGCAGAGTGGTCTCCAGGCCACCTCCGTCCACCCAGCTCAGACCATGGACCCCTCCTCACTCCTCAGTGAGTTTCACTGCCCCGCTCTGCTCTGAGCAGAGCTGAGAACCTGTTAGGAGTTCAGGATAAAATGAGAGCTTGAGGAACTGTGCCAGGAATGCTGGCCTTTTCACTCATACTTCCTTTAAAGCCTGGCCCTCACAGGGCTGGTTCTGGGACCCCTCCCCACTCGTCAAACCTCCTCAGCCACACAGGAGCTTCCAGCTCCCGTTGACCCTCCTCAGCTGGGTTTCTGTCCTTCTGTGGGCTGTGGTGAGACTTTATTTTCATGAGTTGCTTGGCTGCCTGGATTGGGGCTCTGGGTGGAGGTGAAGGCCTGACTTGCTTGGCATGGAAGGCTGCCCGGCTGCTAGCAAGGACAGGAGCAGAAGGACTCTGCCACAGGTAGGAGGGAGAAGCTGATCAGAAGCCTGGCTCTGTGCCAGAAATGAAAGCCACCTTTTTTTGAGCATTTGCTGTATCCTTAGTAGTGGACTTCTCTTAGCTTATCCATTGGCCCTGTAACCCTTGGAGCAAGTTACTCATTATTCTCCCATGTAAGGAAACTGGGGCTTCCCAGGTGGCTCAGTGGTAAAGAATCTACTTGCCAATGCAAGAGATGCAAGAGACATGAGTCCAATCCCTGGGTCGGGAACATCCCCTGGAGACAGGAATGGTTACCCACTCCAGTATTCTTGCCTGGAAAATTCCATGAACAGAGGAACCTGGCAGGCTACAGTCTATGGGGTCGCAAAGAGTCAGACACGACTGAATGACTAACACACACTGCATGCCTTTGCAAAATCAAAATTGTACTAAGTATCCTGTTTTGAATTCTGCCTTTTTTCTCTTAATATTGTATTAAACAAACATTCATCAAGCAGCTACTAGTGCTGGCCTTCAAACAAATTGTAGCAAAGCCGAGTGCTAGCTGTCGTCACAGAAGCAAACAGGGTGCAGAGGTAGACAGGGCAGTGGACAGCTCCGGAGCTGCAAATGTTTAGGAAAATAGTCACATAGGAGGAGGTGGATCTTGAAGAAGGATTTTGACTTCTCAGGCCATGGGCTGGATGGGTGGCAGGGGTAGGGGTGCATTGTGCAGCAGCAGCAGTTGGGAAGGGCACCCCAGGTAACAAAATCAGCAATGGAGGGATCAGGAGGAGAGGCTCCAAAGCAGAAGTGGATTACTAAGGGCTTTGCCAGTCATGCCTAGGAGTTGAGCCTAGGCTTTAAGTGGAGAGAAACATTGGGTTTGTATTTTAGAAAGACTGTTGTTTTTATACACTCTTTCACAGTGTGATGGGTGAATTGAAAGGAGTGAGGCAAGTCTGAGAGACTATTGGAGTCATCCAGGTGAGAGATGATGAGGCTTGAACTAGAGCAGGAATGAGAAAGAGGAAAGAGGAGGAGGAGATGGATTTCAAAAATATTTAAGAGGTAGAATGGATAGGAGTTAATGACTGACTTGGTGGCTTTGCCATGTGACTTGCTTGGACCAATAAGATGTTAGTGGGCGTGATTTAAACATTTAACCAGTATTGAAAATCACTGGTGCAGTTGGGTTGCTTGCTCTTGGGCCTCTGCCCTTGCCATGAGAAGAACGTGCTGAGGCTCATCTGCTGGGCCCAGGGAAGGGGCAAGAGGCAAGCGGAGCAGAGCCATCCCGGCCAAGCATAGGACAGACAGAGCCCTCAGATGACTCACAGTCTCGTGACTGAGGCCAGCCAAGATCTGCCGTTCCACAGGCATGTGAGTTGTAATAATAAATGAGAGTTTATTTAAGCCACTAAGTTTGGGGATGATTTGTTATGTAGCACTTGCTGAGTGATAAAAATGTCTTCATTCTTGAATTGAGTGTTTACTGTGTTCGAGGCACTATTCTTGGCATCTGGGGATGCAGTGCTGAATCAGACAAAGCCCTTAATTTCAGGGAGTTCAGGTTAAAGGGGCAATGTGGCAGAAGAAGCAAGAAGGACCTCTGTCTGCTAACTGAGTGTGTGGTGGTACCATTAATCAAGATGGGGGTCATAGGAGGAAAACAGACTTTTGGAGAGAAGATAATGAGTTTGACTGAGGAAAGGAATATAAGGTGCCCATAGGACACTTGGGTGGAAGTATTCAGGAAGGTAGAGGATAAATGGATATAGAACACAGGAAAGATGTTTGGCTGGAGATTGAAAATTATCAACATAGTGAAACAAGATCATCTGTACCAAAGAGAGACGGAGTACCTGCTGTGGATATTCAGAGGAGGAAGAAAGGATTTATGGTTGGGAGAATGCAAAAGATTTTGTACCGGAGGTAACCTGTAAGCTGGGTTTGTATTTGTGCGGGCAAGGAGATAAATACACATAAAGCAATAAACTGGATGGTGGTAAGACAGGGAGAGCTGGAAATGTGAGAATTAGGCTGAAAAAGTAGATTGGAGAGAGATCCTGGAGAGTCTTGAATGCCAGGCCCCCTGCATTGGGAGCACAGAAACTTAGCCACTGGACCACCAGGGAAGTCCCTACAGATGTCATCTTGTTAACGTCTGTCCCCTCTACCACTTTGGAGAGAGGATTGCCAGAGGTGTCAGCCTAGAGTCTACTGGCAGCTGGCAGAGCTGTGGTTCATGTTCTCCTGCTTTATCTTCCCATTCTCGATTTTACCATGAACTCTCTCATCCTACCCTCCATATAAACTACATGTCATTTAGAGATGCCTGTTCAGGGGAGGTCTGTGCCAAGGCTTCAGGACAGAGGACTGGGAGGTAGTTGCTGCCCTCGAGGAGTACACAGGCTGGTGGGATCAAGAGGGCATGTGCCTCAAAATAGTAAATTGGGGTAGCATTGAATAAAGGACCAAATGAGTGGTCCACACAGTCTCCAGTGCAGGGCCAGGCCAGTCTCTGGGGAAATGTGATGGGGCCTTGAAGATCAGTGGGGTTTAAAAGAGAGGAATGGAAAGGAATAAGAAGTACAAGGGAGGACTCTCTCCTCTGTCAGCCCACTGGTTTCCTTTCAACAAACTAAACATCAAAACCCCACTTAACGGAGCAGTTAAAGACAAATGAGACCACAACGAGCCACCACTTCACACTCATTAGAACAGCCATCATCACAAAACCAGAAAATAGCAAGTGCTGGCAGGGATATGGAGAAATTGGAACTCTTGTGCATTGCTGGTGGGAATGTAATATAGTATAGCTGCTGTGGAAAACAGAAAATGAAAATAAAATTGCTATATGATCCAGCAAGTCTACTTCTGGGTATGTACCCAAAAGAATTGAAACCAGAGACTGGAATACATATTTGTATACCCATGTTCAGAGCAGCCGTCTTCCCTGGTGGCTCAGCCTGCAATGCCGGAGATCTGGGCTCTACCTCTGAGTTGGGAAGATCTCCTGGGGGAGGGCATGGCAACCCACTCCAGGATTCTTGTCTGGAGAATCCCCATGGACAGATGAGCCTGGCAGGTTGCAATTCATGGGGTTGCAAAGAGCCGGACTCGACTGAGTAAAAGCACAGTTCAGAGCAGCATTATTCACAGTAACCAAAAACACCCATTAATGGATGAATTGATAAACAAAATATGATATATCTAGATAGATCAGCATAGAATATTATTTAGCCTTAAAAAGGGAAGGAAATTCTGACACATGCCACAACATGGATGAAGCATGAAAATGTTATGCTCGGTGAAATAAGCCAGTCACAATAGGACAAATATTGTATGATTCCATTTAAAGTATAAGATACCTATAGAAGTCAAATTCATAAAGACAAAGTAAAACAGTGGTTGCCATGGGCTGGGGAGGGGATGGAAGTCAGTGTTTAATGAGTGTGCAGTTTCAGTTTGGAATGGGGGAAATGTTTTGGAGCTGACTGGTGGTGATGATAGCACAACAATGAGACCAAACTTAATACCATTGAGTGTACACTTAACACAAAGTAAAGTGGTAACTTTCATATGTTCACATACACACGCAAATGTTACTGGATCCTTAGATCTCAGAAACATGAGTGATGTGGAGATGTTTGAGAAGTGGAGGAAGAGATGGGACCCCCAGTGGCAAAAGATCAGCAATTAGATTGGAAATGGGGGTGATCCTGGGCCAGGATAGCTGACTATTTCACTGACCACGAATAAATCCTAAGAAGTTACGATGGGGAGTGTACTGGCCACCTCCGTCTAAGTAGCACTTGAGTCGAGTTGGCTCAGAGGAAGCCCGCCGGGGCTGATTGTATTCTTTTACTTCTCCTGCCTCCCTGGCTCAGGGAGGGAATATGAACTGAAGCAAGGAACATGGGATAGGCTTAGGAGTACGATGACTGACTGAAGAGAAGGGCGGAAGCAGGCTTGACATCCCCTCCGGCCTGACCTCGGCAGACCCCCGGGCCGGGCGGGGGCAGCCCCTCTGCGCCTGCCTCACCTGTGTGTCCTTTGGTCCGCAGCGGCCAGCCGGCCCCGTCAGCACCATGGCTTCCGCCGAGCCCCTGACGGCGCTGTCCCGCTGGTACCTGTACGCCATCCACGGCTACTTCTGCGAGGTGATGTTCACGGCGGCCTGGGAGTTCGTGGTGAACTTTAACTGGAAGTTCCCGGGGGTCACGAGCGTGTGGGCGCTCTTCATCTACGGCACGTCCATCCTCATCGTGGAGCGCATGTACCTGCGCCTGCGCGGCCGCTGCCCGCTGCTGGTGCGGTGCCTCATCTACACGCTCTGGACATACCTGTGGGAGTTCACCACTGGCTTCATCCTGCGCCAGTTCAACGCCTGCCCCTGGGACTACTCCCAGTTCGACTTTGACTTCATGGGCCTCATCACCCTGGAGTACGCCGTGCCCTGGTTCTGCGGGGCCCTCATCGTGGAGCAGTTCATCATCCGCAACACCCTCCGCCTCCGCTTCGACAAGGACGCCGAGCCCGGGGAGCCCCGCGGCGCCCTGGCCCTGGCCAATGGCCACGTCAAGACTGACTGAGTTGGGGGGCGCGGGGAGCTGCTGGGATGGGGGGCCCCCGGGGGCTCTCACGGACCCTATGGACAAGAGTACCAAGCTGGTGGGGTTGCCCGCTCTGTACAGCACAAGCCCCGCCCCGTGGGGGGCACAAGGAGCACCCCCCCACCCTCCGCTGTGGGCGGGGTTGGAGGCGTGGTCAGGTGTTGGGGGCGACAAAGGAACTTGGGGTAGAGTGCGCGGATCTCAGCCCAGCTCAGGGGCTGGAGGCGGGAGGCCTGTGGTCATGCAGCGACTGGACTGTGCGGGTGACTTTGGAAGCAGCAGGCCCTGTCCTGCCTAAGGTAGTCTGAGAAGGGGACAGAAGGTGGGAGGCAAGGCCTGCAGGGGCTGTGGGCGGCTGCAGCCGCCGCTGGCTCCCTCCCTCTCACCTAGTTTAGTTGGGCTTGGGCTGGTTCCATTAGGCAATATTCAGGTGCTTGCTTGCAACCAATACCTCCCCCCAAGGCCTGCTGAGCTGCAGCCTAAGAAGAGACTGGGCAGCTAGGAGGCTGCTGGGCAGGAGTGCTGGTCTGCAAGGGCTGGGAGGCCTTCCCTTGGCTCCTCTCCCCTCCCCCAGGGCCCCATGCCGCTCCCTTGGCCTTCTGGGGCTCCCCCCTGGTGCTGGATTCCCACCAACCTTAGGCTTTGGGAGGTTTCAATCCCTGTGTGTTCGGTGGCGTTTCCCCCTTTTCTCTTATTTTCAGAGCCTTTACCACTAGCAGCCTCCTGTATCCATGTCAACCACCCCACCTGTCCCCACCCCCATCTCCCTGGCCAACACGACAGCTGCCAGAGATTGAACCCTGAGCAGACCCATCCCACCCTCTTGCAGCCTGCCCTCCCCTGTTGCCGCTGGCCTGATCCCTGGGAAGTTCCTTGTTATGGCTCCCCACCTCCTTATCTGGGGGGCAGTGGCTAAAAACAGAATGATACCCCCAACGCACAGTCAGGCTAAGATGGGCCCCACAGATCCACAGTGGGGACCGAGAGACAAATCAGTTGAAGGGGGAGGGGGAGGTGGGCAGTAAAAGCACCCGGCTGGTTTATTTTCAAATCTGTTCGGGACAGTCCAGCTTTCCCGAGGGTGGAGGAGCAGGTATCCAGTGCTGAAGAGTTATGGAGACTGAGGGAGGGAGAGAGGGCTTTTCAGCTTTGGCAGTGGCAACCCACTCCAGTATCTTTGCCTGGAGAATTCCATGGACAGATGAACCTGGCAGGCTATAGTTTGTGGGGTCGCAAAGAGTCGGACACGACTGATCGACTAATACTTTGGCTTTGGGAGGGTCCTCAAAGCATCCTCAGCGGGAATGAGTTAGTTCTGGTTCTGCCATAGCCCCAGCCCTGCAGCAAAACCTCCTCAGGTCTATCCTCTCCTTCCCCCTCCCAGAAAGACGAACCCACTGAGTTTGCTCCTTGAACAGTATTAAGCCTGCTATGCTCACAGGCATTGTCATCTCAGTTGCCCCACCTTCCCCACTGACAGGTCCATTGCTGGCAGTGGACAGGTGAGATCCTAACTCCAGCCCACTTCCAGCTCGGCTGCCTCCCCCAGGGGAGGGCTCCATCAAATGCAACCTATCCCGCAGTGCGTGGTCTCTTCTTGACCACCCTAGGACTCTTAGGTAGAAACTAGCCTTTCCCTTTTTATAGAACAGTGAAAGTGGCGATACCACCTGTGGAGAGAAGTTCCTCTTCTTGCTGTGCTACCCCAGGTATACTGTGCAGATAGTACCAGCCAGGGTGCAAGCCAGGGTGGGGGTGCTGGGGGTGGGCAGAAGTGGTGTCCTGGTTTGGGAGAAAGGCTGAGAGACTCTGCCTTTGGCAGGGTTGAGTTCTGCAGTGACCCATCCAGGACAGGATAAAGGGTGATCCCCTGTCTCTCTGCCCTGGGCAGGCTCCTCAAGTCCAGGCACGACCTACATTCTGCAGGGATTAACCCTCCCTTTGATTTTATGTGGCTCCAATTCCAGGGCTTTGGGGCTCCCAGGGACTCAGCCTTCCAGTGGGAGCCAATTGCTTTCCATCTACAGGTGGAAGGGATTCCAGAGGAAGAGTATTGCCTGGTCCCCGTTCCGTGGTCATCTGCTACGACGGCCCTGTAGTCGTTCTGCCCTGTAGTCGTTTCCTTAGTCTTTCCCCCTTGCTCCATGTTATCTCAGTCTCCTGGACCCCCAACCCTGACCCCTCCAAGCCCCCTAGTGGGCCCTTTGGCCACACCACCTTTTGTTCTTTCCTTCATGACAGAAATCTGGTGGTCAGCTTGTTGATGTCTCCCAGCCCAAGGCCTCTGTGATTCTCTCCCAGAGCCAGTCCTTGGATGGCCCACCGGGTCTGTCTGCTCCAGAAGGTTGCCCTGTCCATGCTCCCTGGTACCATCTCTCTGGGCCCTGTAAACTCCCAAGTGCGAAAGGTCCCCGAGTAAACCTGCCTCCCTGGCAGCGTGCAGAACATTATGCTTCTGCTTCATCCAGCTGCCCCAAGGCTCCTGTTCTCTCACTTTCACTCCAGGTGATGACCTGGAGCTTAACCATGGGATCTGCAGGTTCAGAGCTCACCAGAGGTCACCCAGACCTCAACTCTTGCTTTTTTTGGGTATCTTCAGGGCCCCAATCCATTAGTGCCCAAGGACTCAAAAGTATGGAGTAATCCAGCCCTGCAAAGCAGGAGAGAATCTACTCACTGTTCATGAACCTCTGATGTCCTGGGCCTCTCCCCACTGGCCATGGCAGCATCTCTGAGGCACAGGTTGCCATGTGCTGCCCTGCATGGTTGACTCGCTTCCAACATCTGCTAGGCATCCTGTCTCTGTGCCATGTCCCCTCGGATGTGCCAGTGAGTCACAACGGCCTATGCTTATTCACAGCAATAATACCTAGGGGGTGCCCGCAAAGTCCTTTTGTCCTGGTCCCTCGCCTTCTGCATGGGTCTCCTGGGGAGGCAGCCATTGAGTGGATGAGGTCATGAGAACCTGTATTTATGAAACTCTGGGCTATGCAGACATCGTCAAGGGGATGCAGAAAATTGGGAGGCCCAGGCCTGGGGGAGTTATGGCTCAAGCGAGGAAAGCAGCTTCTACTCCGAGGCCGCACCAGGCCTGGAGGACCTGCAGGTCCCTGCTCTGCAAAAGGGCCTTTTATGGGTGGGACTGTCTCCCAGCTATGGCAGCTCTTCCGAAGGACACATGACTGGTTTGTGCGCCCATTGCCTGCTCTGTCTCCATTGGTCTCGTTGTCTCTTTCTTTTCACATTCGTGCACATAAAATATACTGGTGTTTGTGTTCAGGACTGACTCTGGCCCATCTCTGTTTCCTATATTTCGGAGCCCCTTCCCCAGGGGCTGCTGGCCCTGCACACACTGGCATCACGCTGTCCTGAAGCACGCTGGACAGGGCGGTGCCATAGGAAGGGCAGATGGCCCTCTCCACCAGTCCTATCCACAGTCTTTGTGCTGACCTGCTCTGGTAACCTGAATTCTCCACCCAGCCCCTCGCACTCCCCATCACAGTCTGGTCCAGTCCTGACTTTGGGCCCAGACTGCAAGGATGGAGCCGCTCAGGCAGTATCCAGGTTGGCTGAAGTTTACTGCCCATGAGATGAGCTCCTCTCAAAATGCCAGCCATTACCTGCCATGTCTCATGGGGTGGGAGGGCCCATGGAGAGAGTCTGAGGGTACCCCAGAGAGCTGGAAGACCAGACTCCCTTACTTCCCGTTGCCTTGGGAGTCATGCTATTTAGAAACAGAATTCTGCACTCCCCCCAGCAGTGCTCTTTTCCCTGAGAAGTGCATTTGGAGGGACTCATCCCTTCCTGCTCTGTGAACCTCTCTTCTGTCTAGCCCCCCTTGTCCTCCTCTCCTCCCACCACGCTCCTACTTTCTTACTTCCACCCACCTACTTTCTTGCTTCTGGGAAGAGGAGGGAGAGTTCAGAATTTGCTCAGCAAGTTTAACCAAACCAAGATGGCCTGCCTGCCTACCCCACCCCACCCCACCCTGCCCCCCACTGCTGCAGCTCGGCTATAAATTACCTGTTGGTTTTCTGGATGGAATAAGCAGTGAGCTTTCTGAATTACTGAGAAGGCCCTCATCCTCCACCCGCCCCACCCCCCACTTGATGGTATTCACTGCTGTAACTGAAAGCGTTTCCCTTTATACAAATGAGCAAAACCCCAACAGTCACTTACGTGTTAGTACAAATAAACCTGTAAGACTAGTTCATTAGAGCAGGTGTTTATAAAAAGAAAGAGGCAAGCTCCATGGAACAAGGTCTACTTGATGGAGAAGAGGCAAGAGGTAAGACCAAGAACAAACAGCCTGAAAGGACTTGAGGCCCTTCATCGGCCAGTTCCTTCTGTACTCCACTCAGTGGATACCTTCCTTTCTTGATAAATTTCCTTCCTCGCCTCCTCTGCCCCACCCTAACCCAATTCAAAGGGACCGTCTGACTCATCGCATCACAGGTTAGAAGAACAACAGCTGTGGTTGCTGCTGCTGGTGGTGCTGCAGCTGCGACCATTCAGGCATTGCACTGAATGCTCACTCTCATTCTCAAATTTTCTCCCATCCTAGGTGAGTTTCGCTGTTTCCCTATTTTACAGAGGAGGTCTGGGGGCAACCAGTCTCCAGTTGCGATTTACCACATCACTTTTTTTGTTTTAGTGTGAGCAAAAGACCCTTCTCTTACTTTAGCAAGAACTTGTGATGATTCAGGTGCTCTTTTGTGCTTTAATGAGATTCCGGATGTTGTTAGAGCCCAGCCCCTCCAAATGCCATCCACAAAGAGAAATTAACCTCAGGAGGAGGTTAACCTCAGAAATTAACCTCAGAAATTAACCTGCAGGAGGAGGAGGTTTCGGGGGAGAGATGGGGGTTATAAAGAGGAAAGTATGAGATACCATCTCAGTTCAGTTCAGTTCAGTCACTCAGTCATATCTGACTCTCTGTGACCCCATGAACTGCAGCACGCCAGGCCTCCCTGTCCATC